TCTATCTCTCTATGGTGGCATGGCTCTAGTTGGGAATTGAAAGAACAAGAAGTTGATGGAAGTGAATCCGGTAGTGGCGGGTAATGGGGAACCCCAGGATAAGATATCAAATGATATCGGAATTAGTAAGGGAATTAGTGAAAACACAAAATGCAAACTTTCATTAATATTCAAATAGAGTTACAATATGACAAATAGAAAATAGCAGCACTAACGCAATAAGAAACCAACAACACTTCTAAATGTATTCTAAAGGGTGGTGGAGATCGGCGAGGTGGGTCAGGATGGCTAGCGGAGTTGGTGACAGCAGTAGAGTGTTGGTGCCTTCGAGTGGAATGTACGATATTGAAGGGAAAGAAAATGGGAAGGGTTGTGGGTGGTCGACAACGATCTTGTTGTGGTTAGGAGACACTTGAAAGGGTAGACGGTTAAGGGGATTGAAAGAGATAGGTTAGGGAGGATAATAGGGGAAGATACAATCACCACCGCAGAGGGGATACAGTCGGAGCACCACCATCTCTTCGGATACAACCCACAAAGGGGAAAGAAGCTCCATACAGAAGATTTGAAATTAAACACGCTCAGATCTGATCCCCTACATACTTAGGACAATAATTTATAGGCTCTGACACAAAGGGAGGGCAGAAGAATCCAGAAAAGTCTTCCCAAGTGCGGGAGCTTGCAAGCCTCCACCCGCATCACGACGGTTTGCGAGTCTCCTTTATGATTCTACCCTCGCGGGAAATTTCCCGTTGTTGCGCGAGGCTTCGCACCTCTTTTGTCGTCATCGCCATACCGAGAGTTTGTGGGGCTTCTGCATTGCGGGAACGATGCATCCACATCGGGCGTTAGGGCAGGGCCCGCCTCACGAGAAGTCAATCATTGAAAGCAATTTTATATGCCTAAAATTAATATTTCTGAATATTGCACGGTAAATTTAAATTGTCTCACTACCCTACATTTGTGCAATTACTTCGAAGTTTATTTTAATCTAAAGAATTAAACTTGATATATATGTGTGCTCTTGAGTAGGCTAAAAGTTCGATGCTCTATGTTGGCAATATTGGAGTTTAACTAGAGTTGTGCTGAAAATGCTTAAAATCAACCTTATTCTAATTCAACGAACTTCGTGATGAAGGATTTAGAGCTGGATGCTCTATAACAAAAATTACAAAAGTATTTGTCCACCATTTATATACAACCTTCAAGGCTTTTTATAAAGAAAATTCACGTCGTAATTAGAACTTTTTCCTACCACGAGACTTGCAAAATGCAGTAATAACTTCAACTTACATGTTCGATCTTCTATGTACAAATGATTAAGTCAGTAAAGTTTGTGATGTAGTAAATTTTTAAATAAGTTTAAATAATATGTGAATCACAAATTTGATTCTCCATGTACAAATTATTGAGTCAATGTGATCTATAATGCGATCAACTTTCATAAAAGCTTAAATCATAGGCAAATCATGAACCCGACCCTCTAAAGGAAAAGCAGTTGATTATGTTTGAAATGACAAAATGTACTTGTTCAAATGCCCCTAGGATGGGTATAGTAACTGTATATTATAACCTGAGAGGGTCCATTTTTGATATTCAAAACTTTATTTTTCAAATTTTCTCTTTTTAAAAATGAAATTCATCAATTTACATAAATATTTCTCAAGTGGTTACCTTGTCTGCAAGCCATGGTCACGAGCTTCATCTTTTTAAGTCATGTCCCTATCTCTATAGAACCAATTGATAAAACTTTTACCTCTCTATGAATAATTGCAAAAGCTAACAAAAAGAGATCTCTAGTTAACCAATTTTCTAGTCGATCACTTGGTTGTGTAACAAATTAAATTATTTTTGGTTTTTTACTCATTTTTGGGCATAATGGTCTTTTTAAAAAAAAATTTAGTTCATAAATTGAAACTCTTGGGCTATGTCAATATAATATGCTCATAAATTTCAATTTATAGACCGGATTCTCTAAACACGGAGTAGAATTGACATATTTTAATGCAATAAATATTTAAATGGTTCAAAATATTATGCAAAACACAAATTAGTCTTTTGCTGACAAACAAGTAGAATCAACAGGAAGTGAAACGACAGTGCTACCATTTAGATACCTCAAAGATAGCTATGTTAACAAAAGATCTCAACCGAATGGACTTATTTTTAAAATAAAATCTCTCAAATTAAAAATACAAACACTTAAATATTCTACCCGTTGATAACCACATTAACAGCAAATCTCAGCCCAATGGGGTCCATTTTCAAAGAAAAGCGTTTTAATTTTAAATACAAGCATTGGAAATATTCGCAGTTAATGTTGGTTGTGTTGACAAATAATCTCAACCAGAAGAGACTATTTTTATAATGCCTGAAATCTTAACTGAAGTAATTTTTAGCTCAAATCAAAATCGGAATATTAAAATCTCTTAAATGTTATAATATTCAAATTATTTAAGTAGAATTTTACAATTTAAAGCAAAATCCATCCAGACTCTTAAGCAATTTGTTGGAATTGAAATATTTAAGATCAACTCGAATTCACTGAAAGAATGCCATATTAAGTGTATTTTAATAATAACACTAAAATGGCCTCATATGAGTAAGAATGAGACATGGGTACTGTGTGATTTATCATAAAATGTTACCATAAAAAATAGTGGTTACAATCAGGGCCCTCTGATCAAGCGGCTCATCATAAAATGACAATCATATTATGGTCATTATTGAAGTCCGCATGCTCCCAATGGCTTCATTCTTTTTATTGTGTTTCATAGAGTGTATCTATAATGACCATTTTCTACTTCCTATGAATTTAAATTTATCTATTTAGGCAAGCATCCATCTTAAGTTTACAAGATCACCTTGGACGCTGCAACCTATAATTGTTAATAAGAATTTATTGATCATTTTGGGTTGAGTATCTTCTATGATTGGATGAACTAGGGACTGTGACCTACCGTGATAATAAATCGTGAGATCTTAATCAAATTTGTCATCATTTGTTTAGGAAGATTTTGATAAAATATTTTACTCTTAACTAATTGTTGTTGCTATATGATAATCAATTACCACTATAATGACCAGCTTTAATAAAAAATATCTCTCATTATAATAAAATGGGTAATTAATCTCAAAGATTTATACCTGTGAGAAACCCCAAATTAGATCAAAAGTCCTTACAAAATGAGTACAATTATCAGAGTAGTAGCTTAATTTTAATGTAATCTGCCTTTTTTTGGCTTAGAAAAATTATGTTTATTTTAGAAAATCAATTTAATTTCATGCTAAGAAGATTTATTATGAAATCTATTTGGTTAAGACATTCACTCAAATATAGAGGATTAAAAAAAATTTTATATGTTCTTTATTGATTTTGAGAAGATTTATGTTTGGATACCCACAATAATTGATTTGATGCGCATTTATGCATAATTTTCGTCATACATAGATGTTGTATATTGGAGTATGTATTAGTATTATGAATGCTTGTTGAGTGACCATAGAATTTTCACTCACAACAAACTTATATTAAGAGTCAACATTGATACCATATCTATTTTCTATTAAATATTGAGATACTGGCAATTGATAAATAAAATGTGGTGCCTATTCTATGCTTTTTGAAGATATTGTTTAATTTGTAAGACATCCATCGAAATGTTAACGTTGCGTAAATGAATGATATGCTTAGAAGATGTAGGTTTTTGAATTAAGACTATGTATATATTGTCCAATTTTATCGGATGTGATGTTAGTATTTGTGTTTCAATATTATTAGAGAGCACAATAGATCTAAATATTTTGGATTTTTCAAATTAAACAAAAAATGGTGCTATAGACGAGGATAGTGCGTTTCAAGATGAATGGTTATACTTGAGAGGTGCTTGGAGGGTTTTGTGTGAGCAGAGGATGTCTCCGAAGGATTAAAATTAAATTTTATAAAATCATCATTGTCAACTATGCATAAATCTGATTATAAGTTGTAAAGAAGTCATTTATGTTTAAATTTAGTTGATAGAAATAAGAATATTAATATATACGTGCAGCAAAGAAATCGTTTTATTAGAGGAAATAAAATAATAAAAATTATTATTGGGTGATTTGAATACGTGCTGTGGGTGATAGAAAATGTTGCTATTTAATTAGTAGATAAAAATTGTGTTAGAGAGTTGGAAAAGAAATTGGGTAGGCTTAAGCTTACATAGAAGTTATTCAAAATTATTTGTTGAGAATATATTTAATGCCACAAAAATCATTCAATAAAATGAATAAAAAATGAGGATTTTTTGCATCAATACAAAATAATTTGGATAAGGCTAATGATGAAGATGATGATGGTGATAAAGTATATACTCAAAGCTTTCTTCTTTTACTTCTCTTATTGCTAGTAAGTTTTTCTAAAAAAATATCTATTATTCTTCAAATGAATGGCCATCAATCCAATGTTCTTATTACTTGTATTGCATTGGCTGATCATGTACTTTATAATTTTGAGAGCTGTATTTCTTCTAAAAAAATATCTATTATTCTTCAAATGAATGGGCATCAATCCAATGTTCTTATTACTTGTATTGCATTTGGCTGATCATGTACTTCATAATTTTGAGAGCTGTATTTTTCAAGGAAATATATTTTGTCAGTAAATGATGCTGAAACCAAACAATTGTGATAGGGCTAATGATGATGATAAATTATGTGCTTGAGACTTTCTTCTTGTGATCCTCATTGCCTGTAAGTTTTTGCAGAAAAAAAAATCTATTATGCTTTAAAGAAATGGTCTATCGATCTAATGTGACTATTGCAAAGAGTAGATTGTTCGTCAGGTTGCTTTATAGTTTTGAGAGCTGTATTTCTTGAGGAAATGCATGCTTGATTGTCAGTAAATGCACATCTCTTTTTTGATCATTTATTGTGTTTGTTACAGTTATAGTTTTATCAAATAAATTCCGTATTTTCATCTTATTACTGATGGAAAAGCTTACTATTTTGCTTTTCAGGAATATGCTTTTTCCCCATCAGCAGTTGCAATAGACTTGGAATCTGGAGATTCTAAGGAGGTCTTTTTCCATGCAAAACGTGTTGCATACAGGTTCACAGTTCTGTTCATCAATAAGTTCTAGATCTTTTGCTAGAATAGAGAATTAAAACTTAAGATTATCTGTATACACTGGTTACTTTTCAATGCTCTTGATTTTTCCTTGGTCTTATTGAGTCTCTAGGGGTTAAATTTTCTTATAATGGTTTGTTAGCTTTAGTGTAGAATTCTTTCTTATAATGGTAATATAGCTCTTTTAAAGCAGCTTTAAATTAAATTTAATTATACTTAAATCAGATATTTTAACTGTTAGCTAAATGTGCACAATATACTCATTTTATTCGACTTTTCCTCTTCTTCTTTCTTCTTTGAGTATAACAACCTATATTTAATGATTGAATTTTCCATTTATTGCAGTGTCTTGGGCACTGTAACGTTAATTTCTGGCCAGCCAAAGGAACGTGTAATAGTGGAGGCACGTTCAGAGTCTCATGATTTTTACGAGGAAGCAACAACAGATGATGCTGGAAGTTTTCGTCTTAGGAGTCTTCTCCCAGACATAACTTATACGATAAAATTAGCTTCAAAGGAAGACCACAGATTTGGAAGCTCAAGGATTGAGCGTTTTTCTCCAGACCATCTTTCAGTGAAGGCAAGCCTTTTGCTAACCAGTCATCAACTGCATACTTTTTTTCTAAGAATAAATTAGCTGCCAACAAAATGGACTTGGGCACGTTAAATGATGTTGCTTCATCTTTTGCATTACACATAAAGTAAAAAGAGCTTTTAATGATTGAAAGAAATGAAATATAAAAGCTTAACTCTATCAGGAGTCACCCTCTATAGTTTTAGCTGGAGATGTAATTGTACTCGGGCACGTTAAATGATAAAGAAAATGATAAAAGTTATCCTCAACAGTCAACTCTTGAAAGAACTTTTATATGATAAAAATTTATATAAAAGTACGAAATAAGAGTTGACTGTCAAGGAAAACTTGTTTTGTGAACTGCAATATAAATTTTTATCATATAAGTGAATTCCAAATTTCTTAAACAGCCAATATGACAAAAAAGATGCCAGCATTGGCTAACTTTTTAGTCAATTTCACAATTGAAAGTACGAAATAAGAGTTGACTATCGAGGATGACTTGTTTTGTGCACTGCAATATAAATTTTTTAATTTGACTTTGGTGTTCAGATTGGCCATGCAATATGAGATAGAATTTATTTTTTTTTCTTGACATTCACCACATCATGTCTGTTCTCAGTAAGAAGATTGCCATAGATTTCTACACGGCCTTGAAGATCAGTTGAAGTTGGTTTTAGTGATGTTCGAAATTAACGATTTTTCAGTGTTAGTTGAAAGAGCCAAACGAATTGAATATGAACTGAAATTTTCAGGTCAGCGTTGACAACCTTAGTTAGAAATCTGAAGGTAAGCATAAGTAGTCGTAGTTAGAAAAGCCAATTTGTAAAAAAAAAAAAAAGTGAAAAAAGGTATTTTGGGTGGCGTTTAATGGGTTCAGGAAAATGCTAGAAATGACATCCTTAGATGAACTGTCTGTAGGAAAATAAAAGAGACAACATATCACTGACAATGACATGGACAACTCACGAAATTTTTTAAAGGTATTTAGTTTAAAAAAAATACAGTTTTTGTGAAAGCCTTCAATATGAACAAACGGTGTAACTTTAGAGCGCAGAACTAAGCAACCAGTAAAAGTTAGAATTTCTGCAATTATCGCTTAAGAAGCTAAGAATCTAAAGAAGTGGTTGCAAGTACGTTTCTGATTCAAGATCAGTTTGATACTATTCTATTCAATTCAGGTGCATCACATTCTTTCATTTCTACTGAGTTTGCAATCACTTTATATGTTAATATTATGCACTTTACTCATGCCTTTTGTGTTATTATGCCTTCAGAAAGTGGTTTTTTTATAAAATAAATGTATTGTACATGTTAATGTTTATGATAAGAAGTTGCACTCATAGTTGACTATCGTACCAATTTAGGCTCTTGATGTCATATTAGGGATAGATTGTTTGGTAAAACATTTTGCTGCAATTGAATGTTGGATAAGGCGAGTGCAACTCAATTAACCTGGTGGAAAATCATTCATTGTCTTATGTGATCGAAATGCATAATCTTCTCCGATTAGTGCACTAAAAGGTAGAAAGTATTTGTGAATTGGGGAAGTGAATTTCGGGCTAAATTACATGTGCTAAATAAAGATGGGCAAGAATTGAAAAAACATCTCAGTTCTAGAATTTTTTATGTATTTCCTGAAGAATTGTCCGGGCTACCACCAGAGTTTGCAGGATAGCTCTGAAGATTTGCAAGAATTGAAATGTCATTTAAAGGAATTGATAGATAAGGGTTTTATCAGGTTAAACAATGCACCCTAGATTGTTCTAGTATTATTTGTCAAAAAGAAAGACAAATTTATGTGATTATGCATTGATTATGAAGAGCTGAACGTGGTGACTATTAAGAGCGCATATTATTTGCCAAGGATCGATGATCTACTTGATTAGTTAATCCCAAATTAAGTTGAGACTAGCATATCATCAGGTCAAAATTAAGGAGGCAGATATAATTAATATAACTTGTGGGATCATTTATGATCATTATGAATTCTTAGTTATGTCTTTCGACTTAACCAATGCTCATATTGTATTCATGGACCTGATGAATTGTATTTTCAAGTATTATGTGGATTAGTTTGTCATTATCTTTTTTGATAATATTTTGATATATTGAAGAATTGATGATAATCATGCAAGCATAAAATAGTATCGGAGCTACTGAGGCAGAATCAGCTATATGCAAAATTGTTAATATGTGAATTTTGGTTATGGAGTATTGCATTTTTTGGGCATTTTTCAGTTGACAAGGAATATTAGCTGATCCTCAAAAATGAAAATATTTGGGAAATACCTAATCCGAAGATGTTACAGATGTACGCAACTTTGTTTGGTCGGATATTACAGGAGGTTTTTTAAAGGATTTTCACCGATAGCTATGTCATTGTTCAAGCTAATGAGGAAAGATGTTTAATTTGAGTGGAATGCTAAATGTGAACACAATTTTCAAGAATGGAATAAATAGTTAACCATTGTTCCATTGTTAACTATTCTATTAGGTACAATAGGGTTCCATATTTACAGCAACACATCATGAAGAGGCTTGGGCATTATTCTAATGCAAAATAAAAAAGTTATAGCCTATGCATCTAGATAAAGGCACATGAGAGGAACTATTTAAAGCTTGATTTGTAGTTAGTTGTTGTAGTCTTTACTCTCAAGATTCGACAACATTACTTATATGATGTGAAGTGAGAAAACTTTATTGATCATTAGAGTTTAAAATATATTTTTACACCAAAAAAAATTGAGCTCGAGGCAACAAAGATGGGTAGAGTTGATTAAAAACTATGATCTGGATATATAATATTGTCCTAGCCAAGAAAATTTGCATTTGCTGATGCTCTGAGCCATAATTTTTTATATAGTGCAACCTTGATTGGTACTCAAGAGCTGCAATTGATAAAATAAATTAATACATTGCAATTGTAAGTTTGAAAACTAGGTGATATGAGGTATTTACATCAGTTTATAGTGCATCCAACTCTAAATGTTGGAATCAATGCAATTCACGATGTTAATAGTCAATATTTGAAACTCTTAAAATAACTTCAATCAGGATAGAGTTTAGATATCAGCGTTGATGAAAATGTTATTATAAAAAAAAATAGTTATGAGTACCTGCCTATTCTAATTCGAGACAAGAAAATCAACATGAAGTTCATCATTCAGGCTACACAATTCATCCAGACATCACTCAAATATACAAGGATTTAAAATTGATATTCTGGTGGCCAGGTATGAAGAAGGATGTTACTAAATTTGTGTCTAAATATCAAGTTTGTCAGATTGTAAAGGTTGAGCATAAAAAACCCAACAGATTCGCACAATTATTGCTTATATCTGAATAAAAATGGGAATAAATTGCAATATATTTTGTTATGGGATTTCCCGATCCAGACAATCATGACAATTTTTGGGTCATTATTAACATGTTAAAAAGGTCAACTCATTTCTTATCAATTTGATAGACAGATTCAGTTAAAAATGTGACTAAATTATCTGTTAATGAAATTTTCAAATTATATGGTCTTCCAAAAGTTATTATTTCTGACAGACATGAAAGATTCATGTCCGGGTTGTGGAAAGACATTCAACATGTTTTGTGTATGCATTTGAACTTTAGCACAACACTTCATCTACAAACCGGCAGAATATCAGGAATGAAAATTCAATTGTTGGAAGATTTGTTGGGACCTTGTGTTCTCGAATTTAGAGATAGTTGGGAATATCACATTGTAATGATAGAGTTTGCCTACAATAATAACTGTCAATTGTGTATCAAAATGACTCCTTTTGAACCACTGTATTTTAGGATTTACAAAACTCCATTAAATTGGGTTAAAGTTGGTGAACATCAAATGTTAGGTCTTGAATTAGATGAAACCACAAAGAAAATCAAGTTAATCAGAGACATATTGAAAACTGTTTAGGATCAACAGTAGAAATATTATGACCTAAAGCACAAAGCAGTAGAATTTCAAATTGGTGATTTTGTGTTTCTAACAGTCAAACCAATCAAATATACAGTTAGATTTGATTAGGGAATTAGTTGAGTCCTTGGTTCATTGATCCCTTTCAAATTATAGAAAGGATTGTTCCAGTTGCTTATGATTAGTTAAAAGTGTCATTTCTATGATTAGGTTGATGACTCTTATGAATATGCTTATGATTACTCGTGAATATATGAAGTTCATGTTTTATACAAGAGTCAAGATTTTTTGCTTATTAAATCCCATTTCTTTTCATGTTTTATACATTTACAACATATTGTACCATGTTTTGTGAATATATACATGAATTACATACGAGCATACAAGTTATTCTTTCCTGTATGTTAAATCTTATTTTAGTCTTGGTTATTTAGTTAAGCTTGTTGTTGTTCTCTCTACATTGTTGACTTTCAAAAGAATAAGGAGCTCTGAGGCGATTAGTTAGGTGCGACTTGTATAGTTTTTTCTTTTTATAATTTTGAGAGCTTGTATAAACATTTTGATATATTTTTTTATTATGTTGAATTTAACACCTCTTTATAGATTTATATGTTTTGATAATATGATTTTGATGTTTTTAAATGTGTATGAACGAATTATGAATGTTTTAAGTATATTTGTGGCAATTTAGTTAAACTAGTTCATCAGTAACTGAGTCATAATTTTGCAAGTCAGGATGAGTGCTGGTGAAAATTTAGTCTCACCAAATCGCTCGCTTCTATGACGCCTCAGCTGACCCTTAATTGGGGGGAAGTTGGCGTGTGAAACTTGAACACTTATATGATTACCTGATTGATAAATGAGTAATTTAGTGTTCAATTCATTTATGATTATGGTAAAATATCATTTCAAGTTTATAAATAAGCTTGTTTAGAAGCTCAATTAACTTTCAATGATATTCTCTTTTAAGACTTGATTATAGATTCAATTAATATATGATTATGTGGGGGTGTCGCTCTTTTCTAACTAAGACTATTTTGTTCATGAATACAAAGTCACCTGTTTATGCTATAGTTAGAATGCTTGTTTACTTAGCAGATCATTCACTCAGAGTCCATTTTTTTGCTCAGCAGGCTGCTATTAATAGGCTTGATAAGACTTATTCAAATAACTACCATGCTGCTCGTCAATAGCATCATTTGATTAGCTACCAAACTAAGCTTAAAACTAAGCACAAATAATCATAGTTTTAAATGAATTGATCTCTGAAACACTACTATAAATTGTCAAATTGAGCTCGAAGTTGAGTTTGAGCTCTTTTTTGCAACTAATTCAAGCTTGAGCAAGCTTTTGCTCGGCTCAGCTCGGCCAACTTTAATTATAGTAATGATGATAAAATGGCTGGAAATATATCTTGCTCAGCATGTCTGAGGGGGAAGGGGAATATTACTGCCCGTACTATTAACTATAGTTAAATCTTTTTACAGAAAAAATGGCATAGCATTCAAAATATGAAGCACCATTAGTTAGTTAGGGGAAGACATCAATTAATTGATAATGCATTTTTGATTAGCACGAGTTATTTTGATTTGTCTGATGTGATTGAGTTGCCTGCTTTGGTTGTGATAGCAAATGTTAGTCATTGAGTTGCCTGCTTTGGTTGTGATAGCAAATGTTAAAGTCATTTTATTGTTTTTCTTATCATTGGTTTAAGCTTTTACTCTCTTCTGCTTTTGTTGTAGATATTTAAGATACGGGCACTTGTTTTGAAGCTTTGATTTGGATTTTAATCTAAAATGTTTCGTTGTCACTGACTAGAACTACCATTAAAGTCTCGTACATAAATATTTACTTGACTAAAATGAACATCAAATGCAGGAAACGAGTGGATTTAAAAGAAGGTATTCAAAAGTGATTTTAAAAGAGCTGTTGCTGCTTTTGTTGATACGTTAAGAATTTAGTACATATTTGTCCAATTTTCAATCTTTTATGGTTAAACTTACGGCTCCCAGTTTTTCTAATATTGATACACTTTGCATCCACTTATTGATTTAATTATTTTGCATATTTATTTTTTATTCTGCCATCTTGCCGCATATAAATCAAATGACCATCATTCATTATTTTGATTCAATTCTGTCCCCTTGCCCAGGTTGGAACTGAGGATGTAACAGGAGCGGACTTCGTTGTTTTTGAAGAGCCTGAGACGACCATTTTAAGTGGTCATGTTCAAGGATACAATCTTGAAACATTGCAGCCCCATCTCTCAATAGAAATAAGGTCAGCAAATGACCCATCTGAGGTTGAATCAGTCATTCCTTTGCCAATCTCTTATTACTTCCAGATACGAGATTTGGCAAAGGGTCGTCACCTTTTGCAGCTTCGACCTGGCCTTGGATGGGAAGAGCGGCAAATTTGAATCTGAGGTCCTTGAAGTTGACTTGGTGAAGCAGCCCCAAGTTCATGTGGGTCCTCTCAACTATAAAGTTGTAGAGCACCAACACAAACAGGTATTTCTTTATCCATTTATTTGCAGATCATGAAATTGTGAATCTGATTACCTAATCTTAAAGTTACTTTTTGGTCCCTGCGTATAGAAAAATAACATCTTGGCTGAAAAAATTGCTTGATTTCACTATTCACATATAAGGTATTTGTATATAGAAACCAACAACAACAACAACAAACCATTATCCCACTAGATGGGGTCGACTACATATAAGCTGCTTATCATGAAACGTAGCACGCGGGCTGGCCGTGGTGTTCGGCCCTGCGGCCTGCATTCAGTGTAAAAACTCAAACGCGAAACAACAACAAACCATTATCCCACTAGATGGGGTCGGCTACATATAAGCTACTTATCATGAAACGTAGCCCGCGGGCTGGCCGTGGTGTTCGACCCGCGACCTGCATTTAGTGTAAAAGCTCAAACACGATTTCAGATAAGCTGGCGAAAGCGCCCGATCCAAATGGTACGGCGGTGTTTTAAAAACGCCGCTCGCACTTGTAAGCTGCCCCAAACAGGCCATCAGTCCCTCAATAGCTATGAGGTGCCGGCCAACCCACCTTGATTTTTCACACTTACCCGCAAACTAAGTCACATATATGTTAGAAAGGCCCAGTTTGGTATTCAATTCAGCGAAGCTGCCTAGAGATAAAGCTTTAGTGAAGATATTAGCGATTGGGAGATTAGTTGGAATGTTGATTAAGTGAATAATGCCACCATTAACCATTTTAGATATAAAATGTTTATAAATCTTAATGTGTATGGTCCTTTCATGATGCACAAGATCCTTTGCAATACTAATGATGACTTAGCAGTCACAAAAAATCTCTATGAGATTGACTATAAAGTATCACAACTCATTTAATAAAATTTGGATCCACATTGCTTCACAAATTCCCAAAGCAAAAGGCAGGTACTCATATTTTGCACTAATTTTAGAGACTATATCTTGCTTCTTGCTCTTCAATGTGACAAGATTTTTCCCATATATTGTAATAATATTGAGATATTGATCTTTTATCTCTTGCTCAACTAGCATTAATGTAAATTTCTACCTCCGTGTTGTCTGATTTCTTAAACAATAACCCTTTTTCAAGGATTTCTTTAAGAACCACAATATTCTATAAAACATCTCCAAATATTTTTCATCTGGACTTTTCATATTTTGACTCACGATGCTGACAGAATAAACGATATCAGGTCTAGTATGTGACAGATAAATAAACTACTCTACCAATATCTGGTATCTTCCTTTTCTACTTGTATTTTTTCTCCCCCTGAATGTAATCTTTTGTTGAATTTCATAGGTTTCTTAGCAGGTTTAAACCCCAGAATCAATGTACTTTCTTTGGGATATCACAATTGTTGTTTTGGACCTAGCCACTATCATGCTGAGAAAGTATCTCAGATTTTATAGATTATTGATTTCAAATTCAGTGACAGAATCTCTTTAAACTTATCAATCTTTTTTCACCATCATTTGTGAATATCATATCATATACATAGATAATATACATAGCTTTCTTAACTCCCTGCATATGCTTTATGAATAGTCAATATTGGCTTGGTATTTAGATGTATCCATTAGATTTCATAGTCTTGGCATACTTGTCAAACCCAGTCGATGGAGATTGTTTGAGTTCATATGGTGACTTTTTTAGTTTACACACCCTGTGTTTATTTGAGTCATTTTCTAATCCCGATGAGATCGTTATATAACGTTCTTGATATCAAGTTGATGCAGTCGCACACTTTTTGCACTTCCAAAGAAAGAACTCTTACACTGTTTATCTTGGCTACTGTGGTCCTTTGATAGTCTATCACATAAGACTGAGTATAATTTTTTGTCCTCCAACCTTGTCTTGAATCTCATAATGCTCTCATTTGTTTTGTATTTGACATTGAACACCTATTTGCACCTATTGGATCTTTTGGCTGGAGGAAGCTTTGTAAATGTTCTTGTACCATTTTGATTAAGTGCTTACTTTTAAGTGTTTAATGAATAGACTTGGGTATTTGCACGCTATCAGTATTAGATATAAGAACTTTATAAGTTGATAAATACTCATAGACAACATACTTTTTGATAGGATAATTTGTGCAACTTTTCCTATTTTCTCTCCTCGATTCCACCTCCTTTGGAACTTCAGAGATGCGTAGATTTAGGTTTGGTTTCGAATAGTCCTATGGTTGCATATTATCCTTGCCCTTCGATGGATTTCTTTATGCTATTGTACGCATGAAGTTTCTTGTGCATTTCTTTGTTGTCAATCTTAGGTTTGATATCCTCACGTGGTGGAACATGGGGACAAGATTGTTAGAGATAAGTAGAATGTATTGTGATTACTCTAGTTTATTGTGGGTATCCAGAGTAGTGTCACAAGTCTGATATTCACTCTCCCCCTGAATTTTAGATTTGGGGTATTAGGATTGTTTTTCAAAGAATGTAACATCCATAAAAAATATCATTTTAGAATAAAACCAAAAAAAAAAAAAAATTGAAGAACTATTGCCCCCATGCCAGGCAGATTTGAATCTGAGGTCCTTGAAGTTGAGTTGATTAAGCAGCCCCAAGTTCATGGGGATCCTCTCAAATATAAAGTTATAGAGCACCAACTCAAACATGTATATCTTGATCCAATTTTTTGTTGATCTTGAATTTGTGAATCTGATTACCTAATCTTAAAGTTACTTTTTTGTCCCTAAATAGAGCATAATTGATCTCACTGTTCGTTCTGTGCTTTCATTAGGACTAGTAGATGCTTCAATTTGCGAGATACTATTATCATCACTGCAGAAAATGTAATGCCAAGGATCTTTTATTTGCCATTTCGCTGTTCTATACCCAGCCTATGCGCACTCTAGTTTTTTTTTTTTTTCTAATTTGTTCAGTAATTCCAACCAATTAAGTGCCCCTTTGGCATCACTTTTATTTTCTATTATTTTATTTTTATTTTTTATTTTTGTTTTTGAGAACATGTTTGGATAATTTTACTTTTATATGTTTTTCTTTTTATCTTTTAAAAACAAATCATTTTGTTTTTAAAAAAAATTCCAAATACCTAAAAGATGTTTTAATTATTTTTTTAAAAAAAAACTTTTACAACTAAACATATTTTAATTCAAATTAAAATATAAACAAAATAAAATAGAAGGAAAAATAAAAAATTAAAATATAAAAGTGATCCCAAATGGGGGACTTAAGTTGCACTTGTCACAAGGAAAAGTATTGTTTTCCGATTGCATTTCTGTCCCTCCCCTAACTTTATTTATTTATTTCGGTGCAGGAACTCACACCAGCACCCGTATTTCCTCTTATTGCTGGAGTATTTGCTGTTATTTTAGTCATCAGCTTGCCAAGGTATTCGAATCTTTCATTTCTGAAATCCTTTGTATATTTGTCTGTTAAATTTAATTAACTTTTTTTTTGCAGATTGAAGGACTTATACCTTGCTGCAGCAGAGATAACACCTCGGAAGAAGGAAACGCGTAAGCCAGTTTTGAGAAAGCGAGCTAATTAATGCCCTCCAGAAGCATTTTTGTTCCTCTGAATATCATAAGTTTTCCAAACTATGATGTTTATTGATGCTTTCTAGTTCATGCTATTGTGTGTGAAACTAATAATGAACATTGAACTTTTTGTAAGTTTTATTTTTTGGTTATATATATAGTTTTATGATCATCAGGAATACATGTAGTGGTAATTTTTATATTTCTAGAGGAATAATGGTTAAAATAAGTTCATAACATGTGGAAAACTTAAAAAAGTAATGATTGTTTAATTAAAGGATTCTGTTATTGGTGCTAGTTGGATTGATGTTTTCTTTTTTGAAACTTATGTTTGTTTTTTTATGGAGAAAATTTGTATCAATCTTTTTTGTAACATATTCAGTGTCCTTCAAATGTTAGTTGTATCTTTTGATATTCATTAAATATTCCTTACAACTGATGCAAGCAATAAAATTATATGTTTATCTCGTTATGTATTACTTTGTCAGTTGTAAGAATTATTTCATATGTCCACAATTAATACTTAGTAAGTTGTATCAGTTGACATATATATTCATTTTTTTGTAATATTGTATTTTTATGATTAAAGTAAAAGGAAAATTTAATAACAAGTTGTGTTGCCGAGATGAGAATGATTAGGTGGATGAGTGGCTTTACATTTAGAGACGAAATACGTAATGAATATATCCGTGATAGGGTTGGTGTAGCTCCAGTGATAGACAAAATTAGAGAAAGTCGTCTTAGATGGTTTGGTCACATTAAATGTCGACTATTTGATGATCTGATCAGGAGAGTAGATGTTTTAGCTTCTACTTGTGTTAAGAAAGACGGAGGTAGACTTAGGAAGACTTGAGTTTATTGTATAAAAAATAAAGTTAATTTACTAGAAATAAATGAAAATATGACACTAAATAGGACACAATTGAGAAAAATGTTTCATGTAGCCGACCCCACATGGGGGATTAAGGCTTTGTTGTTGTTGTAAAGTAAAAGAGAAATTTAAAAGTATATATCCGCTTGTTCAAGACTGATATATCAAAAATATATGCATTTTAAGCCCATATTTTATACTCAGTTTTAGTGATATTGTACTTTAATGAAAGATATTTTTATGTTCTCTTGAAGATTATTCAATTTTAAGACTTGAAGCAAAAATGATGAAATTTGGAGCAAAAATAAAAAAATTGAAATTTGTTCAGCGCTGACGGCGCCGTTTGACAGTGAGCGTCGAATTAAATTGCGGAACACTGACGCCGCCGACGGCGCTAGAATGGGCGCTGACGGCGCCAATGTCGGTTCAGTCCATGTTTTTAGAAGATTGAACGAATTTGGACGCTTTTTGAAGAGTTTTTGGAGGCATCTCTTGGAGAATCGACTCTAGGCTTCATTTGGGGCCAAAATTGATCAGAAAAGTGACTATTCCTAACATCTCATCGCCTCAATTCAACCTTTTACGCATCACACATTCTTCCATTTTTCATTCCACAACCATTTAGAGTTCATTGTTCTTATAATTTAGAGTTTTGTGGTGAGATTAAACGTGAGGTTAGAGATTTCTTCTTCCTACATTTCTTAGAAGAGGCTATAAGGGATTTGTTTTGAGAAAGAGTTTCAGATAAGTTTTTTTTGTTTATTAGTGTTGTATGAACTTTTTTTTATATATGAAATTTGTGTTTTGTTATATCTTCCTCATGAAACCTGAGTAATTTACTTTATCTTTCTCCATACCCTTAGATATGGTGAAATGAAGAGATAAATGGATGTGTCAATATTAAAAAGTATAAAATAAATTGTATTAGTTTTCAACTCCAAACTTAATTTACTTTTCGATCTGGCCAATCGAATTGTTAAAATATATTATGAAACATATGATCCGGGAAATGGAGTACGAGTTATACAACGGAGTGGGGATCACATTTGATTCCATAAAAAGTCCTATACTAGTTGATATTGATACATATACTTATATAGTATCCCAATATAAATATATAAAAATAAAAAAAGTTAAATTCTTATTTTTCTTTACGATCGAGTTATTGGTCTTGTTGTAAAATAAGGAAATATAAGTGAAAAATATCATCAGAACTCTTGCTATACTGTGCATAGTGAGAGCCAGTATTCTCCTAGCCTAGCCACAGATTGAGGGATTAAACCTGGGAATAGCCAATGATTTTCTATAACACTGTATCAGGGTAGAGAATTAAAACTGCTCCTATTTGGCATAATACATATTAAAACAATTTATCTCATTTCATTTTATTAAAATCTCATTCTAGTGAAAAAGATATTTTTTCACATAAGAAATCTTCATCAAATAAACATGGTTTAATAGTTTAGTAGTTACCGTTTAAACTCTATATTTCAGTTTTGTTATTAGTTAAGTAATTTAGTTCTGATAATATCTCAACATTCAAAATTAGTGGGACTAATTTCGTTTTGACTTTCTGTGAATTTTTTAGTAAATTTATCATTTCAAATTTAAACATTCCATGTGAGATCAATATTTGGGGCTTAAATAGAAAGTCTTTTAATATGTATACTTGCGTAGAATCCCAACATTAATTCTTAAATTTCTAATTAATAAAATATTGCATCAAGTTTTTGGCATCGTTGTACAGCGAAGCCAACTATATAATTTTTACACAACTATATTTCACATTAGAATCAAGTTTTCAGCGTCGTTCCTAGGGATGGTAAAGGTAAATTAAATAGATTTGGTAAATTAGAAAATTTACAGATAATTATATATAAAAAAATTAAAATTAAAAAAAAATTAAAAAAATTAAAAAAATTCAAAAATCCAAAAAGAATATATATTTTTTATTTAAGAATCATTTTTAATAAATTTTTTATTAGCTTATTATATTTGTTTATGCAAAATATTGGATCTGAAGGTTTAGTACCTTATTATTCAGAATTAGAGTGTACTATTAAAAAAATTCGAAAAGAATAAAAACTTAAACGAAATGGTGCATAACTTCAATAATCAAATAAACAAAAATCGACAAAGAACTTCACTTGACTATTCAAAATCCTAATGTTGCTACTAATTCATTTGAGCTTAAACCTGCTATTATCCAAATGGTACAAGATAAATAGTTTCGAGGAACACCTACTGAAGATCCAAACTTACATCTTGCTAGTTTTCTTGAAATTTGTGCTACTTTTAAATATGAAG